AACTGTGGAAACTTAGGAATAATAACAAGGTGAAACCGGCGTAGGATAAGCACGGCTCAGGCTTGATCCAGTCTCACCCCCAACGCAGCTGCAGCTGAGGCACCTCCCGGCGCCTCCTGGGGACCCCGCGCTCGCCAAGCACCTAAAGACACACTCAGGGGACAGAGACTGGCCCCCGATTTCTCTCCTGCATTTAAGTTCAAGGAACTAGGATGCGGCCTGTTCTTCTGCATTCGCTAGGATTGACCGTTTGCATTTGAACACACCTACAAAATACACAGCACGCGAATGAGTACAGTCTCCACGAAGAAGACGATCGTGGTTGTCTGAGCGGCAGAGGGAAGTTGCATTCACGGACAGCCGTGTCCGTTCCTGGACAGACAGGTTCCCACTGTGACCGTGACGCGGCTCGAGGGGCAGCAACGTCAGCCCTGACAGGTCAATCTGCCCGGTCGCTGCACTTCTCATGGGAAAAAAGAAAGGAATTTGAGGGCAGGGGGCTGTAAATTAGGTAAGTTGATTGTCCAGACCTGACCACCTGGCCGAAGGGGGCATCTAACGACCCCCACGAGGCCCCCGACTGCCTGGATCAGAAACGTGGGCTGCGGGCTTTTTAACTGCTGCCCAGTGACCCCAAGGTGCAGACGGGATCCAGAATCACAGCAAGTCCTAGATCAGGGAGGTCCCTAAACCCAGTGACACTGTCCTCCTAAGAGACAGCAGAGGAGACACAGACGCAGAGGAGAAGCCACGTGGAGACGGAGGCAGAGACCGGAGTGACGTGGTCACAAGCCCAGGGACGCCTGGAGCCCCCAGGAGCCGGAAGAGGCAGGAAGGAGCCTCCCCTGGAGCCTGCGGAGGGAGCGCGGCCCCGAGACACCCGCATCTCACACTCCTGGGCTCCGGGACTAGGGGAGGATGAATCTCTGTGGTTTTAAGTCCCCAGCTTCTGGTCATTTGTCACAGCAGCCCTAGGACACAGATGATACAGGTTTCTTACCAGGAACGGTGAGCGATGGGTGGGTGGCGTGTTCTCCCTGCTCCGTGTTGCGCCTGCACGTGAGGCTGCGTCCTGCCGCGGACGGGATCTGAGGACGACACGACCCGGGGCTGGTGCCTGCAAGAGCGCTCAGTGAGAAGCGCCAAGGCGGGAGAAGGGGACGCCCCCAGCCGTGTTTCCCTGAGCCGTGGAAGAGTCTAGAGTGAGACCCAGGGCTCCTATGTCCTCAGCTCAGCCTAGAGCCACACACCCGGGCCAGTGTCCTCTACAGACCCCCGTCCCTGAGCCAAGAAGACTCCGGAACCTTCCCGAAGATGGAGGCATCCAGGGAACTAGACCTGGCAACCGCAGACACCCGGGAGAGGGGAGAGGAGAGAAAAAGGCCAGAACGCTGCAGACTCACGCTGTTGCTTTGCTAAAATGCAGACACCAGCAAGCTGACCTTTAACCACGCTACAATGTATAAATTGGGGGCAATGAGCACATTCGCCATGTTGTGCAACCCCCACCTCTGTCTAGTTCCGGAACATTCTCCTCCCCCCAGAAGGAGACCCCGTCCCCATCAGCACTCACGCCCCATCCCGTCCCCAGCCCCTGCTGACCACCAAGCCGCATCCTGTCTCTGCGGATTTACCTGCTCTGGGCGCGTCCCACAAACAGAGTCAGGCACCGTGTGTCCTTTTTGCGTCCAGCTTCTCTCGCTGAGCACGATGTCCCCAAGGTCCCTCCGCGTCGTGGCAGGCGGCAGAGGCTGAGTCCTTCTCACGGCCGCGTGATATCCCACTGCGTGGACGGGCTGCATTGTGTTTATTTACGTGTCTGCCGATGGCAGCCGGGGTGTCTGCACCTGCTGGTGCAAACTGTGCACGGGGCTGAGAACACGGTCCGTGCTTCCGTTGCACGTATGTCAGAGCAGAATGGCCAGGTCACACGGGGACGACTCGAGTGTAGCTTTTCGAGGACCGTGCAGACTGCTTTCCGCAGTGGCTGCAACATTTGACACTCCCGCCAGGTGTGCGCAAGGGTTCCGATTCCTCACCAACACTACGTTTACTGTTATTAATATTATTATTGCCGTTCTAGCGCGTGTGTGCTAGAAACTTAATTTTAACACTCGTTACACAAGATCAAGTTTCAAAGTCATCTGTTGCTGTTTAGAAGTTATTTATTTCAAAGTTATTTATTATTTGATATGATTTATAAAGTTGCGCATTTTTAATATCGGAAATTTTTCAAAGAACCCCAAACGGTGCCATTTTTGGCATAGAATAATTTTTTTGAAAAATATTTTTCCCCAGAGCCACGGTGTTTTATTGTAATAAAACAAAACAATCCTTTCTAATTCGTTATTTTTCTATTGCCTTCCGTGCGTGAGTTCTATGCAACGCAATCCACCTTTTTAGAATTAAGTGATCAATATTCATTGTAACAACAAGCACATCGACGAGTAAGATTTTCACGAACCAACTGCAGGGTTTGGCTTCACACACGGCCCCAGGCTCAACACGAGCCTGAGCTGAATACAACTCACACGGCAGTCAGTGTGTTAGACTGTGTCTAATGGAATCTGACCATCGTACCCATTTGAGAACCATATTCATTCATTTATTAAAAAAAAATAAAACAAGTGAACGAATTAATGGTGATGAATGTCGTATCGGTACGTTTTTTCTTTTTTTTTTTTCCACTTGCAAACCTGTTCCCTGCCCACCTCCCCGCCGGGATTCTGAGTTGCGTTTTTTTGTGTTTGGAAGCTCACCTCGAGAGCCTATCCTCTATCTCTGAAATAAACATCCAGCGCATGAACCACATGAGTCACCTGTCTCACTTCTGTGTTCGGAACGTGTCCGTTGTTCTTTCTAGAAGTTCTGCCTGTGGGACGCACAATGAACACGGGGGTTGCAGTGGGGCGGTTTTAATCCTCGCCCCCATGAGAAAAGGACCCCAATCTGCTAGACAGAGGCGTGGCCCCATGCCACGCAATAAGGGGCAGAGAACGTGGCGTGCAGGGTGGAGAGAGGAGGGGGGGGGTTGGAGACAGCAGGGACGGGGCTGACCCCCGTCTACCCGAGCCATCCATGGCACGGTGTGCACGGGGCTCACCCCTTCCGTATCTTCCTCCCAGCTTCACCGGGTGAAGACAAAATGCAATCGTTAATACGCTTAGTTCGGTTACTTTGTGTCTGAGCTAGTCACCATTGCTTAGTGCTAAGAATGCTCGTGCCCTGGAGAAGCAATGGAACTTCTGAAAACTGAGTGCCAGCATCGGCCACACGGTAAATCTCGCCCTTGCTGGTACACGTCCCAAGTGTGCAGGCCTGGGGGAGGAGGACAAGGGGCTGGGGTCCCCGAGCGGCAGCACTGGGCCCTCGCTCGGTCCCCAGAAGGTGGGGCTGCGGGGGAACGGTTCAGCATCGGGTACTCCGGTTCCTGAACCCACAGGCTGCGTCCTTCTGCTCCTGTGCCCCTAAAGGTGACAGCAATGTCCCCCCCAGAGCCAGCCCTGGATCCCTGTCCCTCAGAGCCTGGCCTGGAGGGCACACTGGGGCCACGCGCCACAGCCCTTCCGTGTTGGGTGTGGCGTGCACAGCGCTGCGGACGCCTCTCCGTGCCAGACTCCTTCCCTCCCCGTGTTCCACGGAGACTCAGAGGCAAATCCACCGGCAGCAACGACGGGGCACCGCCGCCGACAAACCAGTGTTCCCAGAGGACGTGGCTGCCCCTAACTCTCGTACACGCCCAACGACGCGACAATGCGCCAAAGGCGAAGATTGAGGAGCACAGGGCGCCACGGAGGAGGCCACTGTGCAGCCCGTCTCTCGGCAAGAGGTGGCTCGGCACGGGCAGGGCGGCCCACAGGGCAGGGTGGCCACCCGACTCCGCTTTTGCAGTCAGGTGTTCCCCGAGTCGAGTGCACACATGCACAAAGCTACCCAGGGCGTGTGCGAAACTCAGATGCCCAGATCTCGTCCACAGCGACCCCTGATTCTGTAGGTTGCGGGGAGGCGGGGTGATCTGCAGCCTTGCTGGACACCCCACGGCGGACTCCCCCACAGGGCCGCCCGCACCTCAGTTTGCCAGCTTCTCCCCTCCCCCGTTACCCCCAGCCCAATCCAGCGGCACTCGGCAGAGGTGGACAAGCCGCGCTGCCCCCCACCCACCCATCACGGTGGCTTGAAGCCCTCCTCTCTCTGACCAGGCTGGGAACGGAGCCGGATGCATCTCACCCGGCCTGTGCCGACCTGCTTCGCCCCCCTCACCCCCGCCACATTCCCTCCTGGTCCTGGGACATGCAGCCGCTGCTCCGCTGGGCACGCCAAGCTCCAGGGGGGCTTCCTGACCTTGCTCCCGCCGGGCCACCTCTCTCCCTCCTGCACCTGCTCAGCCTCCATCGCCAGGCTGGCAGGGAGCTGCGTCCTACCTGGCGTCATACCCCGGGCGCCCGGGCCGTGCAGTCCTGGGAACACTGTCACCGCGGCCGAGCGGGCAGACACTGAGAGCCGGCTGCAGGGGCCCATGTTCCAATACCTGGTGTCTGAGCACACCTTGCAGCCAGGATTTAAGCAGGTGACAAGGCAAAAAGCCGTCTGAGACAGATGTGCGTGTGTGTGGTGCCCAGCTCAGCGTCTCACTGTGATATGCGTAAGGGGGCCGGCACGGCCCTCCCGCCAACCAATTCATTTTAATTAAATACAGACAAAGGGACGGGAAGATTGCTTTTCTGAGTTCACTAAGTTTGTTCTCAGCAAACAGACTCAAGGCCTCAGAGGACGGGGCTCGTCCCCTCGGGGGATGTGCCGTAGGACAGCAGGGGTGTGAGAGGTCTCACTGTGCAAAGGGGTCCCAGGGGTGTGGAACGCGCTCAGCTAGGCCTCCCCGCACGACCCAGTCCAAGAACACAAAGACACACCGAAAAAGCACACGCGAAAAACTTCACTTCATTGGAAAAGGATTTTATTTCACCATAAAAATGCAAACCGGAACAAACACCGTCTTTCCTAACGCAGACGTTACAGCCATGTTTAAGTATCTCTGGGCTTCACCTGGAGAAGCAAACGATTATAAAATTTAACAGGTTTGCAGCCTTAAATCTGTTGGAAACATTCCAAGTAAAAATAATTTAGCAAAACGGCGTCTTAAAAAAACCACACGCGCTAACCTTTACCAGAAACCAAAGCTTTTCACCAACCTTTCTTACGCTTCATGACTTCGAGTTGTAAAAAGTGAGTGTTTTTGAAGGAGCGTCAGACCGCTGCGAAGCGCTTGCCTGCACACCGACGTCTCGCGAGAACGGCAGGCCTGAGTTTTCCGCCTCCAAGCACTTGCACCTTCCTCACCTGACTCAACGCGCCAGGGTCACCCTGCGTTTCTGCAACCCGCCCGGACTGCGCTCCCCCATCGGTGGAGATTACGCAGATGACTGCAAGGCGTTTTACTTTTCCACGCGCTGCCTGACTGCGGCGGTCCAACTGCCCCTCGGCTGCGGGCGGGGCGGTGGCCGGGACAGGGGAACCGCGCTCTGTGCGCGCAGACGGACGCAGAGGCGCGCGCTGCCGCCCTCTCCACCGCGGGCCTGAGCGAGTTCCGGCTGCAGAGGGCACCGGCGTGTCGAAGCTATCGGATCAGTCTGGGAGGGACACAGAAGCCAGGCCGAGGCCCACACGCTCCAACTGCAGCGCCAGGTTCGCCGTCGGGCACGGAGGCAGGTGGGCCTCGGCGCGTGCGCCCTCCTCGCGCAGGCGGGCGGGCTCCCGTGACATTCGCGGCTGTGGAAGACTCGGCCTTGCGGGCGGACGGAGGGGCGCGGAGGCCAGGACGCTGGTGCCGACCGGGCGTTCCGCGGCGGGCCGAGGGTGCCGGCCCTTCATTACCTATTCCAGGTGCTGCGGTGCCTGCTCGGGGACCGGGAGCGCGAGCGCTCGGCCCTGCGGCGGTGGCGGCTGTGCTTCCTGCCCGCGCTGGCCCTGCGGCCCCGGCTCCGGTGCCGCCTGTCTTTGCTGCGCGACCTGCGCGAGTGCGCGTGGTCCGGGCTGGAGCTGCGCCGGTGCGGGCTGTCGTCCCTGTCGCGCTTCTTGTGCGGCCTCCGCTCCTTCCGAGGGCGCGCGTCGTCCCCGCTGCCCGCCCGCCGGGCCCCGCTGCGCTCCAGCTGCGGCTCGTCCCCGTCTGCGCCCGCCTGGCCCCGACCCGCGCTGGGCTCGCGGTTGCACTTGTCCTGCTCCGACCGCGCGTCCTTCCTGGGCGGGCCCTGGTCGCAGGCGGGGACGCCCTTGGGCTGCTGGTTGTTGTCCGGGATGCAGGCGAGGACCCCCGGACACCTCTTCTCGGGAGAGCCGTCCCCCGCGGCGCCGCAGCGCGCGCCCAGACCCTCCTTGCACGGGGCGTCCTTGGCCACGCTCCCGTTCACGTTCTGGGGCGGGCGCTCAGCCTCCGGGAGGGCCGGGGTGTCCTTGGGGGCGCCCGCGGTGGGCTGGCCGACGAGGGACTGCAGCGCGGCGGCGCCGGCGCAGCCCGAGGACACGGTCTGCAGGATGTCCAGCACCGGCTGCAGCAGGTCTGCGTGCGCGGCGCCCAGCTCGCCGTGCGCGGGGCCGCCGTCCGGACGCTTGCTGAGCAGGAGGCTCAAGAGGCGCTCGCGCAGCTCCTGCTCCTTCCGCTGCAGGCCCAGCGCGCGCTCCTTCTCCTCCTCCACGCGCCGCAGCTCCGCCTCCTGCAGCCGCCGCCGCTCCTCCTTCCGCTCCTGCTCGCGCAGCCTCACCGCCTGCGGCAGACAGGACAAGGCACTGAGACCCCCCGCCCACGCCCGCCGGCGCAGCGCGTGGGAGGAGCTGGGCAGGTGTCTGAACGGCCTGTGGCCGGCCCGGGGCGCTGCAGAAACTGCCTGGCCGCCTGCGGCCCGGGGGCGGACGTCTCCCGTGGCCGAGGTCCTCGCAGGCGAGGCCCCAGGCGAGGTCCGGCCGGTCCGTCCCTGGGCTCCGTCAGCCACGCCCGGGGCCACCATGCGCCCGAGCGAGAAGGAAACCCCTTGGCAAAGGCTCAGCCCCGGGGTGGCCGTCTCGGACAGGGCCTGGCCCCGCCACGTGGCACACGGGGGCCTGCTGTTAGGTCACAAGCGGCGCCAGCAACAGGGGCCGAGATGACGGCGCAGACACACGGCGCCGCCGCCGCCGCCGCGGGCGAGCTCGGCCTAGCCTGGGTTAGTGTCTTCAATATTCACCATGAAATGAGAACTGAGCGGCCACATGTCTCAGCCTCTTGCCTTGCTCCTTCCCGGAGACTTATCACAACTGTAATTAGACAACAGGTTATGGGGTCGCCCGCCCGGGCCCCAGGGGGGACGCGGCCCTTCCCAGCACAAGGAGCGTGTGGGTTCGTGCGCCAGCGCGGGCCCTGGGCTCTCGGGCGTTACCAGCGGCGCCTGCGGGGGCGTTTGCAGGGCCGTGGGCGCCAGGGAGACCCTCCAAGCTCACAGCTGCGAGGGACCCAGGCGGTAGCCCCTCTGCACAGAGTGAGCTCGGCCCTCAAAGTCTGGTGAGGTCAGAGCCAGGCCGGCTGCCCAGACGGGGCGTGGGCAGCGTGTCACCAGCCAGAGGGGGCCGCGCGGGCCAAGTACACTCTGCCCTCTCTGCTACTGCCCCTCCCCCGGCCGCCCAGCATTTGGACGCTGACTCAGTTTCACCAGCTGTGTGCAAGGAAAGCACAGCGCTCAAACCTGGAAGGACAAAGATGGTCCTCCGCTCTAAGGCTTATTTCTCTATTATGGCTGCACCCCGCTGGGGTCAGGGGCCATGATGCCGCTCCCAGAGGAGCACAGCAGGATGGGGAAGACAGGCGCCCGGCGGCAGAGGCCCCCAGACCCCCATGGGTTCCTTGGCGCGCCCAGCTGCAGAGGCTCCCCCGACCACACCAGGAACCTTGGCGCACCCGGCAGAGGGGTCCCCAGACCCCACTTGGGTACCTTGGCGCCTGGCTGCAGGGGCCCCCTGACCCCACTCAGGAACCTTGGCGCGCCCGGCAGAGGGGCCCCCAGACCCCACTTGGGTACCTTGGCGCCTGGCTGCAGGGGGCCCCCCGACCCCCGGCTGCAGAGGCCCCCAGACCCCACTCGGGAACCTTGGCGCGGCCGGCGGCAGAGGCCCCCAGACTCCCCGCAGGTACCTCGGCACGCCCGGCAACAGGGGCCCCCGACCCCCGCTGCAGCGCCCCCGCGGGTACCTTGGCCCTGGCAAGCAGCTCGGCGACGAGCCGGATGGACTGCAGGTTCCGCTGCGCCAGCAGCAGCTTGCGCTCCTCCAGCCGGATCTTCTCCTGCAGCTGCCTCTGCTCCTCCGCCTGCAGCTTCTCCAGCCTCTTCTGACTGCGGCGCAGCTCGCGGTCCCGCTGCTTCTGCTCGCGCCTGCGCAGCTTCTCCTCCCGCTTGCGCTCGCGCTCCAGCTCCTCCAGCTCCTTCTGCTTCCTGCGCGGACATGCGGGCTCGTGAGCGCGCACGGAGGGGACGCTCTGAGCCAGCGGGGAGGCGACGACGCGGAACAGTCGCGCATTTTAACTCCTTATCCAAACCCGCATGTCAGGTGGGCCAAAGGAACCCAGGGAGCGCGCAGGGTGAGGGCGTCCCAACGCCGCAGGGGACTCTCGCGGACTGTGCCCACGACCCTGAAACCACAGAGAAAATGACCAGCGGCTCTGACCACACCGGAAGTTCGAGGCTGAGCACGACGCACCGGGCAGGTGGAAACGCGAACGCTCGGTCAAGAAACACCTGCGACAACGCAAGACTCGCTCCGCTGTCCCTGCTGCGCGCCACAGCCGCGAGGCCAGCGCCCGACGGGGACGCAGATCTCGGCGGGACACACAGGGCTGCGGGACGGCCCGACGCCGGCTCCGCCCACCCGCGTCCACAGGCAGCGCTCAGCAGGGGGCAGGGCTGCCGGGAGATGGTTTCAGCTCAAAAACCAGGATTCCTAAAGTACAAGTGGCAGCCAGAACGAGGTCCCCCTGGGCAGTCGCAGGGGCCGTGGGGCCACGGAAGACCGCGGGAGGGAGGAAGGAATGAAAAGCAGATGGGCACAGCCAGGCAGGAGATTCCAGAAGCCTTACGGTAAGGGGAAGATCAAACACAAAAGACGCAAAAGACGAAGTACCGTATGAGACCCTTTTCTGTGAACTTCTAGAAAAGGCAAACCCACAATGACGAAACCAACGGCCGGACTGCCCAGAGGCCGACGGTGCGGGCGCCGGGGCGCTCTCCCTGGCGTGCTGACCACGCCGCTGGACGCGTGGGTTCAGACCGTGACACACCGCGCCAAGCTGTATTCGGAACCGGCACCTTCACCGCGACCTCAGGGACCAGAGCGGTACCGCCCGCCCACACAGCTCTGCGGGAGGAGCCAGAGCCTGGCCCCATGTCCAGCACTCCAGCACCTCAGAGGCAGCCCCCGGGAGGCCCTGCTCTCAACTCTGCCAGGCACTGAGACACCGCCAGGGCTCGATGGGTCCCCTCCTGGCAGATGGGGACTTCTCTTTAAAACCACCCCACCCACACCCAAACAGCTCGCATCCCGACCGCACTTGTCCTGGGAGGGGAGGCCTGGAATCGCGGCCCGAGGGCCACAGGCCCCTGCAGAGCTCCGCAGTTAGCAGCTTGCCCAGCTCACCCTCGCCGCCCTCTGGCTTTAGGACTTATTCGAATGACCGACAGTAAAAAAGTCAGAGCCACTCTCGGTCCGCCAGGACACGGAAGCTGAGACTCTGCAGGACACAGAAGCTGAGACTCTGCAGCCCAGACAGGTGCCGTCACAGCTCGGAGGACGGCCACAGTGCCCCACACGCTCCTCCGCCCCAGGACGACAGGTGCCCAAGCTGGGGATCTCGCTGAAAAGCAACACCCGTGAGTGGGCGAAGTTTCCACTTCCGGGCACGAGCCACAGTTTTATGGCACTGTGAGGTGTGCACGCCCAGCGAGCTCAAAGTGCGGCTGTGAAAGCAGCCAATGGGGGCCCTGCAAGTGGCCACGCTCTAGGAGCACCCACGCTGAAGCCCCGGCCTGGTCATCTTTCAGAATGCAGTGGCCGCGCACGATGCTCTGTTACCTGTCACACCTGAACAGCCCGCACGCACACCATGGCCACCAACGAGGCTGCCCTGGGCCTGTCCTCAGATGCGGGCCCCGCCCAGGGACACGGGACCAGCCCAGCGGATGGCGGCTCCGGGAGCACCCTGGAGCCCTCCCCGCCAGCTCCGCCTGGAGCGGGCCTGTCCCCACCCCTGCCGTGCCAGACCACGGCAGACACCTGTCCTCCTGTCCAGGGACCCGTCCTGCCTCCTTTCCCTGAGCATCCCGGCCCGGTCTGTGCACAGGCAGCAAGGCCAGGGCTGTGTCCCCACCCTGGAGCTGGCACCCCTCTCTGCAACTGCCCGCCTGCCACTGCTTTCCTGGCTCTGCCCGAGGGCGGCTCACACTGAATACTTTGATTCCACACAAAATCCAAACTGCCCCTCCAAAGCCACCTGCCGAGCGGGGACGGTTACGCAATAAGCACATTCCTCCGTCCCCAGCCGTCTTCCTCGCTGAGCTGTCGGCCAGTCGGAGACTCTCCTACCCCAACGCACAGCCACACACCGGCACGGTGGGCGCACCTGCGTCGTCTTTGGGAACGCGACGCGGGCTAAGGCAAGAACACCACACGCGGTTTGGGCCTGGTACCTGGAAACCCAGTCCCGTGCAGAGATGAAAACAGCCAGAGGCACAAACGTACCGGCACCAGCAATGCACACAGCAGGGAAAAACGGGGAGAAAACGAGCATCCGGCTTGTTCAGGCCACGCAAGAGCTACGCCAAAGGCTATCAGACGCGTCTAACCAGCCTCGCGCTCCACGTTCAGCACGCTGAAGCAGAACAGAGAACGTGCAGGACAGACGCGCACAGGAAAACGCTAGAAAGAAACAGCCGCAGTGATGGGACAGGGAGAATTTCTGCTCACAAAATCCAGGACTCAGAGCTGATGACTTTTACAAGGCTAAAAACGAAAGGCCAACGAGGAGGAAAAGCGGAACCCGAGTTTGCCTTTGACGGCTGAACCGCAGTGAAACATGGAGGCTACCTCTTTAAGGGCCTCTTACACGAAACACGGCTTTTTGTTTCTTTTTTTTGTTTTTACATTTGGCCAACATCATCGATTCTCTACTTCGTGCTGTCCACGGCGCTTCAACCTCACCACAAAACTGCAAACCATGAAGGCGTCCTGCCTGTTTCGGCAGGAAACGTGACCTGCACACGGCCACGGGGCGCTGCAAAGCAAAGGTGTCGTCCGTGCCAGACACCGTGTCAGACCACACACGTGCTGAGGAAAGAGAGAAGCACACGCTTCCCGCGGTATCTCGACCAGCCGCCAAACAGGTGCACGTATGCACACGTGCACACACTCAGAAACACATGCCCAGGTATGCATGCACACACGTGCACAATTCACACGTGTGCACACACACGTTGACGGATACACGCTCGTGCACACAAAAGCACGCACGCATGCATACATGAAAGAACATGCAAAGATACGCACAGGTACACAAAGACACATGCACCGGTACACACGCATACACACACGCCGAAAACACGCAGATACACGCGCACACACACACCCCGGTGCCAGGCACTGGCGCTGAGGGCCCGCTCCTGCGGAAGATACCTTTCCTCTGCCCGCTGCCTCTCCTCGGCCTCCTTCTCTCTGCGCTTTTGTTCCTCTCTCTGCTGCTCCAGTTCCTGAAGCTTCTGCCTCTCGAGCTGCCGTTTTTTAATGGAGGCGTCGCTCAGATGTTTGGTCGAGTCAAAAGACACCTTCGAAAGCAAAAGACGGCGTCAGAGGGCCTGAGGTCCCGTTCACCCCCAGGGAGTCACGGTCAGCGCAGGGGCTCGAGACGTGGCTCACCCCACGAAGGCGGGACTCAAAGGGAAGACAAACGATCACTGTGACGTACCTTGCCTTCACCACTGAATAAAAAGAAGTTAATGACTACTGTGCCCTCCTGCTGCTACCAGTGGCCGCCCGCTCCCTCTGACCACGGCCACGGGGCCGAGCCCACAGGGACAGGGTACACAGGTGGTCTCATGGCCACCAAAACCCTCCTCCACGAGGCTGGCCTTCATTGTACTGCAAATCCATGTCAACTCCAAGCCCGTAACTATGAAAGAAACCTTGAGCCCTAATCAAAAGGAACATTCCGGAATGTGGCTAAAACCCCTCTCGAAGTGCCCCTGACAGCCAACACCTCACCTACTTCACAATGCTCGGCTCCTCCATCTCCCTTAAACTACAAAATTTACAAAAGCATGGCCCATCCCTCATATTGACGTCTGAAGCCCTACTGAGCACAGGACGGCAGCTGTGATTTTATGTACGGGGGGTGGGGGTGCGGCTGCAGAGCTCCCCAGGCCCTCCGCCGGGGGCTCACCTTGATGTTGCAAGCCACGGCCTTGCCGTCCTCGCCCTTGTACATGAGCTTCATGCCGCGCAGGGCGCTCATGGCCTGGATGAAGCCCGCGTACTCGCGATACTGCACGTACGCCTCGAAGTTCAGGTGTCCCCCGAAACTGAACGTGTGGAAGTTCCGGCCGGTCATCTCCTCCCGGTAGGGGTCGAGCATGGGGATGTCCACGTTCCGTATCTCCCCGAACTTCTCGAACACCTTCACGAGGACGTCCTCGCTGGGCTTCTCCGAGCCCGACTCCTTCAGGGCGAACCACTTGCAGGGCAGCCCCTCCAGGTGGATGGTGTCCGGCCTCTCTCCGGGCAGCGTCTCGTTCATGTCCTTGGCGTCGCGGAAGAAGGAGTCCCAGTCGTGGCGCGTGGGGAAGTCTATCTTGAACTCGGCGGCGCGCACCTTGAGGATGTCGGAGAAGCCGCTGAGCTTGATGGTTTTGCCGTCCAGGCAGGCCAGGAACGACTTCACCAGGCTCTTGTTCTCCACCTCGCCCTCGAAGCGGATGAAGTCCATGGTGCTCTTGGAGATGCGCAGCGTGGAGAACTGGTGGTTGTGCACCATGCCCTTCAGCCGCTCCATCACCTCCCAGTTGGAGATGGACTTGCCTGGCTGCTTCAGCTGCGGCAGCGCCACGCTGATGGTCATCTTGGTGATGGGCTTGAGGTACAAGCCGTACGCGGGGCAGAGCTCCACGGCCTCAGACGTGTCGTGCACGATGGTAGCCGCGGCCATAGCCAGGACCTTGGGCCTGAAACACAGGACACGGACGGTCAGGGAGGAGCCCGGGCACGAACCGGAACCAGCGTCTCTCTGCGGCGTCAGAGGAACTGGTCTACCTCGTTAAAAGCCATCTCAACTGGGTTTAAAAAAAAATTAAGACTAAAGGTGAAAAAAGCACATTGACAAAAAGCTTTTAAGAACACGTTAGAGTCCAAAGCCCCCGTCACCACTGCCCCCTACCGACACCAGGAGCTCTCCCAGGCCCGTGGAACTGGGAAGCGGGGCAGCGGGGCAGCGCAAGCTAGAGACGCCTGGCTCCCCGGGAGAGGAGCAGGGGCCAGGAGAGCCCAGCCGCAGGCATCTAGAAAGGTCTGTGCGGGAGGAGCCCTTGTATTTGCATTGACAAAACAGGAAGGAAATCTCAGGCTAAAAAATCTACCGCAGACCATGGACTTTAATAATCTCCACTATAGGCAGATGCATCCTCTCTCCAACCAACTTAAAGGCAAAAAGCGCAAGGGCCTTTTCCAGACAAACAAAACAAAACAAAAAAACCTGGGGCCTGGAACCCAGGTCTGTGCCCTCTTTTTCCACCTACCTACTTTAACCCAACTCTTCCCTACAGGTCTGACAGGTTGGTTCTTCCCTAGGGCCACGTTCCAGGTGGCTGAGCGTGACCCACACAAACCCAACAGGTGGCCCCGCTGAGCCCCGCCACCCACCACCACGCCACGACTTGCTAGGCCCCGGAGGCGGCCCACAGCCCGAAGCCCAAGGTGGGAGGGTCCGAAGGGGTCAAAAGTTGACCGATGAACCCTCCGCCACGACGACACAGGGAGCAGGAGCCAGAGCCCAGGAAGCCTCACCACCTGCGGGGCACCCCTGGCTGACCCCGGTAACCCTGTCCTGGCCGGGTGCCCCACACCCCGGGTAACCCGCCACCCCCACCCGGGTGCACTCGGC